TCTCATCAATCTAAAATTACTTATCCTTCATTAGATTATCTTCATTTTAATAATTTAAAAATATTAAGGTTTCACTTAAATACATATAATAAGGAAATAAGCACAAGAGAAGTTGCAAAATATATTATGTATTGCAGAACCGTATTTTAATATATAGGTTAATTATATAGTGACACCAAAAATAAACCACAACATAAAGCAAGAAAATATTATGAACTGCTAAAAAATATTCACCAAAATATGCATAATGGGTACTTCATGCCTAAATCAAAGAAATCTATCATGTCAGTCATAAATGTGGCAGGGAAAGCAAGCATCTTATATTGCATATAAAGAGAGCTATCTGCATATCCATTTAAATGGATACTATTGCATACCTCCACAAATAGTCTTTGCAGAGAAATATTTTGTCATCAAACATTCAGTGTATTTAGAATTATATTTTTTGAACCTCTCAATGCACTATGTGTTGTCCAAGTGACTGTAAAATGAAGAATATTGTAAATTACCTAAATCTGGACAAAGTTCTTGCAGCGAATAACACATTTCTTCCAAAGATTTTTTAAAAAATAAAGCAGATTTATTGTATCAACATTTGTATTACACTCTTAAACTGGATTGTGCTATAGAAAAATTATGCTATAGAAAATTGCAATCAAGCAATAAAAAGCATTTAACATTTGGCAGAACTAAACAACCCAATTCCTTGCCAACTAGCATTAGAAAAAGGACAAATTAGTAAAACAATGTTGAAAAACATACATGATTACAAATGTACCCAAAGACGCCAACATAAATTTCTTAAAGCTTCTATAGTGACGGATAAAAGATTATACCTAGATTACTATAAGATAGCATGATAAAGCACCATAAAAGGCAAAGAGTATGATGAAACACGAAATCCCAGAGTTTTCCAAATTCGAAAATAAATTCAAGAGTACAGAAATACCTTCTTAGATTTGAGTTTCTTCACAGGCTTAACTTTTTCACCTACAAGCCCAAAAAAAAAAAAAATCAATTTCAATATGTATTTTAGAAAAAGAAATTATCAGATTTACCTAGAAACTGATAGAATTTTCGCTAAAATAAGATGAGAAAGAAATTGAATGATTATTCAACATGTGTTATTTCAAAACCCAAAACCCAAAAAAATTGCAATCCAGATTCCAAAAATAGCATAATCAAGAAGGAAGAGAAGAAGGAGCCTATGGATTGCGCTGTTGAATTGAATGGGGGAAACCATTGAAGAAATCAGAAGAGAATTGAAAGATATATTTTAAGGGAAGTTAGGGATTTGATATGAAGAAGAAAGATAATTGAAAATTAGAATTAATCATATAAGTTAGGGCTAGCCGTGGGTTAGCCCTACCTTAAACCAAAAAATAAGAAAGCTAATGGTGTTGGGGCCAAGAATAGCCCTATTACACAACGGGCTAATAAAGATGGGGTTGAAAATAGGGCTAAAAGGGTTGGCCTGCGATCTTTAACCCGTTTTGACAGATCTAAGGGTGTTTATCTCTAAAACATTATTAGGGACTTGTTGCTCACCTAATGGCACATCTCACCCACTGTCATACAGATTCACCAAAATCAGAAATCCCATACCCACATCTCATCTACTTTGGCAAAGTCATCCCTCTAGGCCACCATATAATGTCAAGAGTCTTCGACCTCAAATGATCTTTAACAAGTATAGTGCTATCTTATACACTTATCTCTTACACACATTGACTTGAGCGTCAGAGTGTCTGCTGGTACACCATGCTTCTTTCCAAACAAAGTACTGAAGTCACTACCTAACCTCTATTAATGGAAGCTCAAGCTCCATGTCTTGAACAAATACAACTTGATTCAGGTAAACACATCATAACGCTTAGAAAAAGAGAAAAATAAATAGATAATGGAAAACAAAATCAACTTTTGATATTGACTTGAAATCTATCTATGTGCATGCACGTCTATCTATAAAACAAGGACTATGTTGATAAATCAAATAAAGACATCTTGCATTGATATCAACAAAAACTATGGGTTTTTATAAATTTGCTTCTTGTGTAGCTTCTATTTTACAGATTATCTTTATATGGGTTGGAAGTAGAATGTTTGAGAAATGTGAAAAATTAGATGGAAAAGGCTTTTTCTATTTCTACTCAATACTCTTTTGCTTTTTTGGCTTGATACAAAATGGTGAAGAACACACCTATTTATACTAATGGCACCTCATTAACCAATGGTTAGAATTATGCCAACACGTTTTTCATCCAATGACTACGAGTGATTCTCTAGATTTTTTCTCAATGTCCTAATTTAAACACTAATTATAATAGGTGCAACTAAACAACTCTAAATATATTTGGACCAAATCTACAAATACCATTTAGTGTGACACCCTCCCTTGTATGCATCCAAGAGAGACGTCTGCTAAAACCGATTAGAGTAGTAACGTTAACTAATTCAATTCTGATCATGCTTTGTTATCTCATAATTAAAATCTGGGATCGAATCCAGTTTCATAAAGGAACAGCCAGTTGTTTTCGTAAAGTACTTTTGATGCTAAAAACGTAATTTTTCTGAAAAACCTTCATGTCTTGCAAAAATCACATAAAATCGAGATTTCAGAATTTTAACATAAATCTTATATAATCAGAAACTAGACATTTGGGACTTTACGTGCATATAAATTTTATCCCAATCGGAGGTCTGTAGCCCCAGAAACAGAACTCGCAAAGTGCTCGAAAATTTAGTTCCAAAAATCCGAATTTAAACAGCAGAAATTGTTTGTCAATTTAAAAACCAGAATTACATAAGTCTTAAGCAAATTCAATAATCAAGCTACAGCATGTTCCAAAATAGAATACTAAATTTAGTTTGTCAACTTCAAAAATACTACATAACGTCAAGATTCAGCACACAGCCAATGAAACAACGAGCAAACAACATGATTTCAAACAGCAGCACTCAACAACAAATATCCAAAATAACTACGTCATCAAATGCTTTTTCTTCCTCCTGCAATTTCATAGAAATTGAGCCCCAAGAGGGGTGAGAAATATCCCAGTAATGTGGCAGTAAAATCAATGATGCAACAATGTTAAATTAACTACTGAAATTCCAAATGCTACGTCATTAACAATTTCTGAACGGAGACTAATGTGTAACAGAATGCGTATATAACGCCAGAGAGTTTTATGTTAATAGCACTACTGTGCATATACTTCTAACTGAACTCATTGGATATTCCATTTGGCCCTACAGAGGGGAATTCCAATTGAGGCCTATGCGGACTGAGCCACGGTCCCTTCTCCCTGGTACTTGAGGGATGCCTACATGATGCACGCTCAAACACATGCGTACTTTTATCTAATAACTCATTTTCCAAATCTGAATGTGATATGATGTATGAATGTCATGGTTTTATTCGCACACAAATGCAGAATTATTCAATGTATGATGTTCATGTTTATGACAAAAGTATCAGAATCAGAATTCATAACTCACAAGGACTATGATATAAATAATTCGAACAGTTCACATCTCCAAGCAGAATTACAATAATTCACATTCCAACGCAGATCAGGAATACTTACCAAACAGAATTTACAAGGTACATGCACAACAATTCAAAATCTCAAGGACTAAATTAACAGTCACACAGATTAAGCTACCTACGCATACCTTGATGCTTTAGGATTCCTACCAAAAACAATCACCAATTCTGTCCCCTTTTTGCTAGAGGGTTGCGCACCTAATGCACAAAAAAATCAAACAGAATTTCAATCTATTGCCTCCTATAATTTACAAACACTTTCCATACTTACTATTCTTGTAGTTCAATCGGTTTTCATGGTTCCTAAACTAGATCAATTTTCTGACTTAAAGTTAATACACCAATTTGTTACAGCGAAAAATCCAAGTTCCCTAATACATTCAGGTTCGGTTTAGGCTGGTACTAGGTGTTCATAATTTATTTGATTACATAACCATTCCTACAATGCCTAAGGTGCGCTAGGAGAAACTTATAAGCATACTGTATGTTTAAATTTATCACATGCAAGGCTAGATAACGCAACCTAGTCCAACAAAACAGTTTAACAAAATCAAAGGGAAGCTATTTCCCGCTCACCAATCGGATTTTAAGCTTGCATGCACTAGGTTCAGGAGCTACCCAAATGAGCAGAAACAAAAGAATAAGAATGGCAAAAGAAAAACTATCTCCCTAGGCTACACATGTAGTCCGCAACAGTGAGGAAAAGGAGCTTGAGGTTCAGTCTTTACCTCCTTGTGTTGACACAACTCGCAAACCAGAAAAATAACATCAACCCCATTCTTCTAATGTTCCAATAGATCGAGCTTATGCTGCATGCAAATGGAGAAGGTTCAATCAGAGCCAATTCATATAGAGATGAACAAGGAGCTAAAGGAACACCTCACCTCCTTGAATGGTGATAAACGACTGAACAAGAGGAAAGGAATGAAGGATGGCTTCAGTTGTAATCTCTTGACTCCTTGGTACACGGCCGAACTAGTAAGAGAGGAAAAAGAATATGTTTAAGTGTTTGGTTTTCATCTTAGGTGCTCACGGTTTGTGTGGGAGAGGAGTAGCTAAATTCAGTTCAGAAAGTAGGGGAATAGATCAACCTTGTTGCTCTCCAATGCGCATAGGAAGAGAACTAAAGAGATATCAGCTTTTTTTTTTATACATGGATAAGTGAATCCTTGGTCAGCAAAGGGGTTGGGCCGAACATGGAGAGGGAATCAAAGGGTCCCATTAGTGTATAGATGGCGCACATGCAGGGAAATAGAAGGCTAGGTGGCGTACATGCAAGGAGTTTAGTATGTAGTAATTAAGATTAATCCTACCCAAACCACCTACATGGAATTCGAATTTATATTATGCATCCACTTCCCTACTTGCATTTTAATTAACTTCCTAATTAATGCGGGATGTTACACTCTCCCCACCAAAATAGAATTTTGTCCGCAAAATTAGAATTACGTACTCAATCAAAAAGTTCCGGGTAGCGATTCTGAATGTCTTCTTCACGCTCCCAAGTGGCTTCATACGCAGATTTATTATTCCATAGTACTTTCACCAATGGTATCTCCTTGGAACAGAGTTGTTTGACTGACCTCTCGAGAATTTGAAATGGTTGTACAGTGTACGTCAGGTTTTTCTCTAACTCTGCTTCTTCTGGCTGTAGTACATGGGATAGATCAGAGATGTATCTTCTCAACTGACACACATGGAAGACGTCATGCATTCCCGACAAATTAGGCGGCAACGCCAATCGATACGTCGATTCTCCAATCCTATCCAATATAAGATATGGTCCCAAATACCGTGGACTCAACTTCTTCATTCCCATTCTCCAGCCAAGTCCAGATGTGGGCGTGATTCTTAGAAACACGTGGTCTCCTACTTCAAAAGATAAGGGTTTATGACGATTATCATAGTAACTTTTCTACCTCGCCTGGGCCCTCTGCATATTTTCCTTGATCTTCTGCACCTGCTCTGAAGTTTCTTGAATCATGTCGGGTCCCAAAATACTTCGCTCACCTACTTCTACCCAACATAACGGGGATCTGCATTTCCTCCCGAACAAAGCCTCATATGGTGCCATCTTGATGCTGGAGTGAAAACTGTTATTGTAAGCAAATTCTACCAAAGGAAGGTAGTTGTCCCAACTGCCTCCTTGTTCTAAAATACAGGCTCGCAACATATCCTCCAGAACCTGAGTAGTGCGTTCGGTCTGACCGTTGGTTTGCGGGTGATAAGCTGTACTTAATCTCAGATGGGTTCCGAGAGCCCGTTGAAAAGACTCCCAAAACTTAGAGGTGAACTTGGGATCACGATCACTGACTATACTGGTGGGAACTCCATGCAACTTCACAATCTCTCGAAGATAAATATGGGCCAACTTTTCTGTATTATACGTGGTTCGGACACTCAAGAAATGGGTTGATTTTGTTAGCCGATCAACAATTACCCAAATGGCATCAAATCCTTCTCGCGTCCGGGGAAGTCCAACTACAAAGTCCATGGCAATACTGTCCCATTTCCATTCGGGAATTTCCAGAGGTTGAAGAAGCCCCGAAGGTTTCTGATGTTCATACTTCACTTTATGACATGTTAGGCATCAGGCTACATACTCTGCAATGTCCCATTTTATACCCGGCCACCAAAACGAAGTCTTTAAATCTTGATACATTTTAGTGGATCCAGGATGAACGGTATAATCACCCTTATGGGCCTCCTGCAAAACTTCTTGTTTCAGTTCATCATTCGGTATTACTAACCGACCTTGAAATCTCAACATTTTATGTTCATCCCAAACAACATCTTGGTAACCAGCCAATTTATGGACTAGTCCCTCGTCTCTTTGAGCTCTCTTGATTCTACGGAGTAACTAATTCTCCACTTTGATTCTACCCAACCTTATTCCACGCCTTTTTCTGATAACAGACAAGTTCAGATCCCGAAAAGCTTCAAGTAGTTTCTGTTCTTCTATCATCAAAGTTGCAGCATGAAGAGTCTTACGACTCAAAGCATCCGCTACTACATTTGCGTTACCAGGATGATACTTGAGTTCAAATTCATAATCTTTCAGGAATTCCATCCATCGTCGTTGTCTCATGTTTAGCTCATTCTAATCAAACAAATATTTCAGGCTCTTATGATCGCTGAAAACATCAAATTGTGAACCATACAAATAATGTCTCCAAATCTTTAGTGCGAACACTATGGCTGCCAACTCTAGGTCATGAGTGGGGTAGTTTTCCTCGTGTGGCTTCAATTGTCGTGAGGCATACGCTACGACCATATGATCTTGCATCAAAACACATCCAAGTCCCTTTAGAGACGCATCACAATACACTTCAAACTTCCTGGTCGGGTCCAAAATAGTAAGCACCGGAGCACTGATTAATCTACCTTTCAGCTCTATGAAATATTCTTCACAAGCGTCAGTCCACTCAAAAGGCATTCCCTTCCGAGTGAGACGTGTGAGAGGCTGCACTAGTTGCGAGAAATTCTGGATGAATCTCCGATAATAACCTGCAAGTCGTAAGAAACTCCACACTTCGGTGATGGTCTTAGGTCATTCCCAATTCATTACTGCTTCCACTTTGCTGGGATCCACAGCAATACCTTCGGCTGAAATTACGTAGCCCAAGAACTGGACTTCACTCAACCAGAACTCAAACTTCGACCACTTGGCATACAATTGTTTCTCCTTAAGGATTTGTAAGACTATCCTCAAATGTTCAGCATGCAATTCTTCATTGAAGGAATAAATCAGGATGTCATCAATAAATACAATGACAAACTGATCTAAGAATGGGTGGAAGATTCGGTTCATATAATCCATGAATACTGCCGGAGCATTAGTAAGTCCGAACGGAATCACCTGATATTCATAATGACCATATCGATTCCTAAAAGCTGTTTTCGGAATGTCCTCCGGTTTAACCCGTATTTGATGATATCCCGATCGCAAGTCTATTTTGGAAAACACCCTGGCACCTCTCAACTGGTCCATTAGATCATCAATTCTAGGAAGCGGATACTTATTCTTCACTGTCACCTTGTTCAACTGACGGTAATCCTCACACAAACGCAGACTACCTTCCTTCTTCTTGATAAGAATAGCTTGAGCACCCCATGGAGAAGTACTAGGTCTAATAAATTCTTTCGACAAAAGCTCTTCTATTTGTTTCTTCAGTTCTCGAAGTTCCAGTGGTGCCATACGGTAAGGAGCAATAAAAATAGTAGCAAATGACTGAAAATTACCATCTCTAGAAGGAACAATGACCTTTCCTGCTTGACAATCCAAAGTCATTCCATTTTCTACCAGCCAGTCCATACCAATAATCACCTCAAGGCTGAATACCGGTAGAACCACTAAATTTATTGTATAAGTATTTCCTTCAAATTGTAGAATACAACCCCTGCAGATTTCTGATGCAGTACAAGATCCTCCAGTAGGGGTACCGATTTGCAACTCATAAGGTAAGGGAGCCGGGGTGATACCTATTCTCATTGCAGTGTGCCCCGCAATAAAAGAACCTGATGCTCCAGAATCAAAGATAACAGAAAGAGGATACCCATTCAAGATTACATTACCTCGGATCAGATTCGAATACTTTTAGATTTCTCATGAATTAGTTTAGACTCTACAGTAGATTATTCTAGAAATTAGACTAAACAACTCTAAATATATTTGGACCAAATAATACTAAGCCCAATCAATCAAAATGAAGATTGTTACTCAACATCCTTTCTAAATTGAATTTTGCAACTCCAAGCAATCTTCTCATCTTGACAAAGTCTTCATTCTTGAATGGCTTGGTGAAGATACCTGCAGCTTATTCTTGAGAATTCATATACTTTATATTCACCTTCTTTCTTGCAATGCATTCCCTTATATAATGATAACATGTATCAATGTACTTGCTTTTATCATGGAAGACAAGATTCTTTGCTAATGCTATTGGGGATCTTTGTCAATATAAATATTGGTTAGCTCTTCTTGTTGCATACTCAACTTCTTCAGCAAAATCCTTAGCCAAATGGTGTGGCAAACACATGACATAGCTGCAACATACTTAGCTTCAGAAGTAGACGAGGCGACAATAAGTTGTTTCTTCGACATCCATGTGAAAGCGATATCTTCCATCAAGAACACAAACTTAGTGGTGTTTTTCCTATCATCCTTGTCTCCAGCCCAATCGCTATCATTATATCCAACAATTTTATGTTCATTAGATGATGAGTAAAACAAGCCAAAGTCAATGGTACCTTTAATGTAGTGAAAGATTCTCTCGCAGCCTTGAAGTGCACGATAGTTAGAGACTCCATGTAGCGACTAATGAATCCAACAACAAAAAGAATGTCGGTCCTGGTGCATGTTGAGTAGTGAAAACTTCCAACTAAGCTTTTGAAAAAGGTAGGATCAACATTTTCTCCTTCGCCATACTTGGACAACTTGACTCCATATTCCATTGGAGTGTTAATACACTTGCAATCATCCATCTTGAATTTCTTCAACATCTCTCGTGCATAGTCTTCTTGAGTTATAAACTTCTTCCTTTTGGTTGATTTGAATACTAAAGTAGTATGTCATCAGTCCAATTTATATCATCACAAACTCATTCTTCGTTGCTTTCTTAAATTCCTCAAACATTCTTGCATTGTTTCTGATGAAGATTAGATCATTCATATACAAGCACACAATTAGAATATCTCTATATTTGATTTTGACATAAAGCACATGGTTGTAATGACACTCGATTAAAATGTTCTCTTGGAAATGCTTGTCAATTCTATTATTTCATGCTCTTGGTGTTTATTTTAGCCCATAAAGAATATTCTTTTGATTTAATACCTTATCGTCTTATCCTTTGAATTTGTACCCAATTGGTTGCTCAATTTATACTTCTTTTTCGAGAACTCCATTAAAAATTAATGACTTTACATTCATTCAATGTGTGCTTTATTTGTTTTGGGCTGCTAAAGAAATAATTCGTCTAGCAGTTTCTAAGCGAGTAAGCGGAGCAAATACCTCATCATAGTCTATTCCATCTCGTTGACTATAGTCTTTTGCCACAAATTGTACCTTGTATCTCTCAAATTTTCTCTTAGCATTCTTTTTTTCTTTGTAAACTTATATCACTCCAATTACCTTGTGCCCTTTCAGAAATGTGGCTAGCTACCATATTTTATTCATATCAATCGCGCTAATTTCTTCATCTATTGCATTTCTCCATTTCTTGTTTTGGACTACTTCTTCAAAACTCACTCATTCATAGTAAGCAAAGAGGAAAAATAAAGTGATATTATCTTAGTTCTCCATTACCTCATAAAGTTCATGTAAGCTCCTGAAGCATGATATTATTTTGTTTGAACTTCTAGCTGACGATGGTTCTTCTTGATGACTTGTTGTTGGTGAAGTTGGAGGAGTAATAGTCACATTTCTTTCTTGTTCAATCCTTGGTTGCTCTATATCTTCTTCCTCCATGAGGCAGGGAAATAAGTTGGTGTCCTCGTTATGTAGACCCCAATTTCATTCTTCTTTTTCTTTGAACTCCACATCTCAACTAATGATAGTCTTTCCATTGTTAGGATTGTAAAACTTATAACTTTTTCAAATTCAATCATACCTGATGAAGATGAGCTTTATCTTGGAAGAGTCTTATAACTTCGACTTGGAAAGAAACCATGTCGCTGCTTGCCATCATTTTAGAAAGGATCTTATAGCTCTGATGCCACTTTTGTTGGAAGCAGGATATTTGAAAAAGGACAAAAATTATATGGAGGAGTCTTTTTTTTATTTCTATTTGTACTAGTGGCACCTCCTTAGCCAATGGTTAGGATTATGCCAGCAAATTTTTCATCTAATGGCTACAAGTGATTATCTAGAATTTTCCACAATGTCTTAGTTTAAACATTAATTATAGTAGGTGCATCTAATCTTTAGATTTCTCATAGATTATTCTAAAGTAGATTATTTTAAAAATAAGGCTAAACAACTTGAAGTATAATTGCACCAAATAAAACTAAACCCAATAGATCAAATATAATTCTTAGTTGCATGCTGTGAAAAGTTATTTCCTATCAAGAATCACAAGCCTGAAAAATGCTGAATTGAGGGCCGAGTAGATCCTAAAATAAGAGCTTTATGTCTCAATTTTTCATAGCCCCGTAATCTTATAAAACAGAAATAATTATATTAAAAATAAATGTTAAGATAATAAGGTATCCATATATTATTTCACTTTTAAATTAATTGAGTGTTTAAAATTGTCATTCTAAATTTTTGTATTTATGAATTCTTAATTTTACTTCTCATTAAAAATATGTAATACTGAAGACGGTTAATAAAAGGATATATTCTCTCACATTTTATATTAAGTGATTAATATAAACCTGACTTTTATTTTTATCAATTCTCAATTTCTATAATATTGTCAATTCTCAAAAAGAAAAATCGTTATTCCCAATCATTCAACGGTAATATATGTATTTGTTGAGTATCAACACCAAATTTGTTTTCTTACCATAATTTTTTTTAATTTATAATATCCATTTTTCAAATATTCTTTCCTCATTTGCTGATTCTTTATTTTAAAATGAATCAGCTGCACATTAATAAAAAAAAAATTAGAAGATTCTAATTATAATTACAAAATTTACATCCTAAAAATTAAACAAAAAGAACAAAATTATTTTGTTAAGATTGATAGAGATAATTGGCAAAATAGATTTAACCCGTCTTATATGATGGGTTTGGGTTGGAACTTCCAACCTATCAATTTGCTTAAATTTGTCCAGTATAAATGCGGGTCCAAAAAGGTTGAACGTGTTGGATGGTGAGTTGATCCATCTTCTTTTTATATATATATATATATATAAATAAATCATTAGTTATTGACCTTCTTACACTTCACACCCTTTACTTCTTTGGGCAACACATGTTTTTTTTTGCTTGACACTTGAATTGTGTTAATTAAAAATAAGCTTTAATTCCTCATAATTTTTTATACATTTAAGCTTGAGTTAATGCTAATTATACAAATAACAAACTTTTGATAAGAATTATGCTCGAAATCAAAAGTATTCTAAAATCCCACTTTATATGATCTAACTTGTTTATATATATATATATATATATATATATATATATATATATAGGAAAAAATGTTTCTGCAGTTACTGCAGATAAGTTATCTGCATTTTTTTTCAAAACGACGTCGTTTTGATATTGAAATCTTAAAAAAATATAAATATAAAGACTATTATAACCCTGAAATAAATTAAAATTACAAAAATACCATGATTTCTGCCACAAAACGACGTCGTATTAGGCTTACTGCAGATAACTTATCTGCAGTAACTACAGAAAAAACAAACCCTATATATATATATATATATATATATATATATATATATATATATATATATATTACCTCAAAGCTTCAAGTTTAGTTTTTTTTTTTCAATTTTAAAGAAGTAGAAAATAATGTCAAGACATAGAATGGAAAGTTGAAGTAAGAGAAGAAGAAGAAAGAGGAAGAAAAACACTCAAGATATAGGTGGGTTCAATCTAAGGGTGTAAATGAGCTGGACCGAGCCAAGTTTTAGCTTAAATGAGCCAAGTATGAAAAATATTTTGAACTTGGCTTGACGCATTAGCCTGGTACAAGCTAAATTCGAGGCTTGGCTTAATTTGTTTATGCAAAATTAAAGGCTTGGCTTGAGCTTGGATTGATCCATTTATAATTATAAAATATATTTTTTCCAAACTCATATACGTCCAAATGTTGAGACTATAAATGCATCAAATTATGTATTCCTTTGTCAGAGAAAAAAATCATAGAACTCACTCAATCTACGTATAATTTCATATTTCATGCCAATAGACAAATAGTTAGAGAACTTGTTTGTGAAAATGTGACAGTGAAAGAATGCTAGCAGACAACTTTAAAAAAATAGGATTAAAAAAGTAAGGCTAATAATTCAGTGACATAAAAATAATTATTTATTATACTAATATATCATGCCAACTCATGGGCTTTCAAGCCAAGCCTTATTAAATTAGCCTTGGCCTTGTTTGCTAAACAAGATTTTTTTAAAGTTTGAGCTCGTTCTATTTATTAAACAAATCAGGTCAAGTTAAGCTTAAAGCAAAAGCCAAATCTTAGGCCATTGACAAGTCGTTCGGCCCATTTACATCTCTAGGTTCAACCCCCAACTTGCCATAATTAAAATAAATCAAGATTTTCAACCTATTTTTATAAGAAAAGAGGAGTTGATTGCTTATTTTGGAATGAGTTGGAGTGTTGGGGGCAATTATTCGTTTCGCCATATAATCATGGGTTTAATGTCTCTCTCGTGTTGTGTAGGAGATTATTTCTTACAGACACATAAAAGTACGTGAGGTCCATTTTTTTTCTCTCTTCTCTTCACTTCACATGGCTACTACACACTTTTATATATGTATAGGAGATAATTTTATCTCCTATAAGAGGAAAGATATTCTTACTATCAAAGTTTTCTACTACTAACTTACTACCTATCTAATCAGCATTGAATCAAAGAGAGAGAATGCTAAAAAGTTTTTGAAAAAAGAGAAAATGTTGATCCAATGGTGATTAGATAGATAATGAGTTGGTAGTAGAAGATTTTAGTAGTAAAAATATCCCTCCTCTTCTTATAATATGAGAAATATCAAACTTTATAATCATATAAGCCCTGATTTTATATTTACTTTAGGTCTCTCATAATATTGAACCACCCCGCGATTGAGTGAATTCATGTGTACGAGGTGGTGCGCATGGTTAGAGCCCAAAACACTTATTCTGTTTTACAGGCCAAGCTCGGGTTTCGAGTTTACAGGCCCGCCACGAGAAAATGGAGCTCGCAATCGCAATGATGGGATCTGGGCTTTAAAAAGGCCCAATTAATAAAGAAAGAACCTGTTATTGTAAGGAAACGAAAACCCCTCATAAAGTGAAGGAAGATTATTGATAAGAGAAGAACAAGGAAAAGAGGGAAAGAAAATCCAAAATAGATGGTTGTGATAAATTATCGGTCAGATATCTTTTTTGGTATAAGAATATAAGTATCATTGCTGACAAAGATAACGAAAAGGCTGCAAGGGAACAACTCATTGGAGATAAAATTATTTTTAATAAATTGAAAATGACGTTATTTTGAACTTATAAAATTAAAAAATTAAAATAATAAAGACTAATATTACTTTACAATATATTAGAATTATAAAAATATCTTGATTTTCGTCCCAAAATGATATCGTTTTAAGCTCACAAAATATAACTTATCTCTGAAAAAATTCTTTACCCTTATTGCATAGGGATATATTTTACTAAAGAAATTTAACTTTCTTTGAAATATAACATTCAAGACATATATCAACAAAAGAAATATTAAAAAAAATGAATGATTTTTTAATCAATATGCCAGGGGTACATTCCATGTGATTTTTTTTTTCTTAATTTCTTCTTCTTTTCATTTTTATTTTTATTCTTTATATTTCTCCAATTTTAAATTTATTAAACTACTTATTTCGTCAAAAAAAGAAAAATGAAGAGCAATCTTATCTCAGAAGAGAAGTAAAACATAACAAAAAGTGAGTATTGTGTTATGGTTTCAGAATAACATATTTTATAATTTCTGCCAAGCATGCGCAACTTTTAGCGAATATATATATATATATATATATATATATATATATATATATATATATATATATTATTTTAATTTTAATTTGATTATGTTAACTTTTGTAATTTTATATTTCTAATAAGTAATTCTTGAATCCTCATGATATAAGATTGCAATAAAATCGACTATTCAGAATAAATGGTTAATACATGAAGTGAATTTAAAAATAATTACTTATACTCATTATTTAGTAGCTCTATACCACCTTTTCATACAAATCAGCATTTTTTTTTAAGGGTCCTCAACTTCTTATGTAATAGGAGAAGAAACTTATCTTACAACGAATTAACACTGTATACTATACGTAATAGATAGTTATAATATTAAAATTAATTTTTCTTTTTCTACCACGTCAGTCAACAGCCTATATAAAAAGAGAGGGAAAAAACAGCTTTTAAAATTATCACTAACACAGTTATTGATGTTGTACTGTTTATGCAACAAATCTTCAAGACAATACTCCCAATTTTCTTTGGCTCAGACGTAGAGAATTAGGTTTGAGAGCTTACAACGAAACATTATAAGGAGTAGTGCTTTACAAAGTTATGCACACTGGAAATTTTTTGTTTATGTAATCATCAGGGAGTTCTCCAATGAAGCTCAATTTGAATCCGTCCATTTCTTGAGTCAATAAGATTATATTTCTCGTTGATTCTTTTGTTGGTAACAACATCAGATAAATTTATATCCACATAACCCAGAGTTTCCTGGTAAGAACATACGGTTGAAAACCATTAGTTATCTCCTCATTGAAGTGAAGGCAAATGTATAAAATGTAAAACATTGACCAAGTTTCATATTGTAAAAAGTCAATATAGTCTCATGAATTGAGTGTGAATAGTGCATTACCTTAGGATGCAGCAGGCCAAGCTTTGAGGAGGCACTTAACACTTCAACATTTAGCCTCTCATTGGTGGGGGGTTCCTCCAGCATAAACTGAAACGTTTCATCCCATCTTGGATCTCTATTTTTCTTTACATGCTGTATAGTTGCCGCGAGCAGTAATCAAATTTCACAGAAAGGTCAAACCATGTTTAAATTCTAAAAACAATGGATGCAACAAAGTCAAATTCTTTTGGAAGAAGATACACTTTCAAAACAACCTTGTGGGTGCTCGTTATATACAAGAGCAAAGATATATCATATATGTATTGGTGGGGATAATGGTTCTTTTCAACTCCAAGTGACGGATTTTGGACTCAACCATTAATTGAAGGTTTATGATTTTTTATAACAACAGCAACCAAGTCTTATCTAATTGGACTATATGGAAAATCAACTTTTTAGTAAAATAATTTAGAGAAAGATCCTTTTTGTGGTTTCTGCTAAAGCTTTTGTAGGTCTTCCTCTACCTCTTTTAATGGGACTATATTTCATTTGATCCACTCTTCACTGTACAGACTCTGTTAGTCTCCTTCTAACATGACTGTTAAGAGTGTTAGTGTTAATAGTGTAGAAGTCCCACATTGAGTGTGTCTCTTTGTATTCTTCAATTGGTTTGCTATATAATAGCACCAATGTTGTGTAGTTTAATACAACAAGGATTACTATCATTTCCTCTTGTATCTATAATATTCAACATGGTATCTAGAGCCTAACAAGAGGAATCTTAATCCGTTTAACTTAGTTCTATTTTCCATAATTTCAATATGGTTATAAAGAGATATCACCCTCCTTGAGGGATTCCCGTTGCTATTTCTTTTTCGGGTTTTTCTTAGTATGCTCTGTGAATGCAGCTTAGACTGATCTGTCGCATCAGAAAAGAATGATCCTTGGGAAGTTGTTGGGTTGACCACCGTTGTCGTTGACTGACCACCGTTGACCGCGTTGTCCACCGTTGACAGCTATAATACCCCAAACTTAAATATTTAATTAATTAATTTTAATTAAGTAATTAAGCCTGTATTAGTGAGTAAAATTAAGTATAAGACTTAATTAAACGAATTGGAGTCACTTTGGAGGTAAAAAGTGTACTCAGTGAAAGTTAAGGGGTATAAATGGGTACTGGAAAAAGTGTCCAAAATATAAAAATAAAAATATTAATATTCCTAGAATAATATTCCAGACTTTTGGGTAAAGTTTGGTAATTAATGGAGTGGAATAGATAGATGAACCAATACCCACATAAGCCACTTAACTAAGTTAAGTGACTTAAAAGCCAAAAAGAACCCCTACCCCATTCATTCCCCACGACACCCTGCACCAGGGAAGAAGAAAAGAAAGAAAAAGAGAGAGAAGGAGGAAGGAGAAGGGAGGAAGAGGGTGAGAGGGCGATTCTCTACCGATCGGAGTGATTCCAAAGCCTAGACCACTCAAAATCTTCCCCTCTTCCATAATCCTAGTTTAGTTTTGAGTGGGGGTTATTGTGGAGAGAGATATTCTCCTTCAAAAATTCGAACCCTAGGTGAAATTGAGGAGATTGATGGCTCCTACCTCCATGGGAGCTTGGGAGGCTTCTATTGCATGGTTGTGTGACCTATTGTGGTAAGTTTCCACTTCTCCAACCTTGTATTCATGGAAGTTTCTTGAGGTTGATGATGATGAATAGTGTATTTTGGGGTTTTATGAGTTTGAGTGTGATGGAGGCTTGGTGTCTTTGAAAATGTTGTTAGTGATGATAAATAAACGGTGAAAATGAGTTTAGATTGTCATTTGAGTAAATTATGCTTGAGATTAAGGATGCTCTTAAATGTTAAGATATTATTAGCATCAATTGATTGTATTCCTTGTGTTGATAGGATTGAGGCAAGAAGACCAAGTAGAGTGACCAACCTTTGTGGTTGTGTGCAATTGAGGAAAGCTCAAGAGCAAGGTAAATCTTTGGACCTTGTGGTTGATCCCATTGAGTGTTCCACCATACTCCATGGAGGAGAAATGGTTTATGAGATGTGATATGTAATTATGATTGTAATTGCATGCTCATGCATTGATTCATGCATTGATACATGTTATGATTGATTGATGATTATTGGTTGATGTTTGATCGTTTAAGAGTAATTGAGGAATGGTTATAGAAGTAGCAATAATGAATGAGGTAATGGTTGAGGATTGTGATTGAGGTTATGAGTGATAGTATTATGATGAGGATGATTGGTAGGAACTTCCCTTGGAAACAGCCATATGTGGATCTCCATGTGGTTAGAGCCTAAGAGGAACAGCCCTATGTGGATCCCTCTTGGAGGTTCCTAGATTGAGGAAAGGACTTCCCTTGGAAACAGCCCTATGTGGATCTCCATGTGGTAAGAGCCTAAAAGAAACAGCCCTTAGTGGATCTCTCTTGGAAGTCCATGTGATGCTTGCTGATAAGAATGTGTTAAGCTATTATGATTATGTGTACATCGAAAGTGAACCTTAGGGTGGAGTGATCTCCAAGGACCTCTGGTTTACTGTGATATATTCGTATATCTCACCCCGTGTTATGGGGACCCCCTTTCAGGTAAGGAAGCTGCAGGAGCCTCTGATGGCAAGTGGCCTTATTTGCAGTAGATCATGCATGAAGAAAATGATGTTTTGAGATCATACATGTTATTTTGTAGATTTACATGTATAGGATTGATTATTGATAGCATTGACGTATGTATATCTCGTTATATTTGATGGACTTAGCCTATGATCATGCCTTTGGATATCTCTTTTGTTGATGAGAGCCAAGGGATGGTCATAGCCTTTTGTAGCTAAGTTCCCCGTTATGTAATTAAACTTGTGTAATGTTATTTACTTCAAGGTTATGAACGCATGATGAATATTGGAAATGTTGAGCTGAATTGTCTATTAGGAGCTAAGCTGTTAGATTGGGAAACGTTGAGAAAACAAAGGTTATGCTGCCCAATTTCCGTTAAATCAATTTTGGAGAGGAATTTATATGATAGATTTGGACCGTGGTGTATGTATGGAAGTTGTAGATATTTTTCTTAGCTTTCCATAGAGACCAATATTGTGTGAATTGGACAAGTACAACTCTAGTTAGAGGTAAAATACTAAGAATTGGTGAAACCTTCAGAGCTTTGGCGCACCTGGCGCCAAACTTGGTGCACCGCGCGCCATAGTGCTTGGAAGCTTCTGTTTCGTAGCGCAAATCGCGCCGTCGTTGGCGCAAAACGCGCCGGGATCACCAGCTGGCGCACCTGGCGCCAACCTTGGCGCCTCCAGCGCCATATGGATCGAGAGCTTCTGTTTCGTTGGCGCCCGCCGCGCCACAGCTGGCGCCGGTCGCGCCGGGATCAGCAGGATTCACGCGCTCGTTTCGTAGAAAACCCATAACTTGGGCCACAGTGCTCCGATTTGAGCGCGGTTTGAACCCACGCGTAGCTAACGAAGAGATCTACAATATAGTAGAAATTGTGAAATAAATAAGAAGTAAATTAATGGTTTAAAAGTGGAATAAGAACATGATGTTAAGCTTGGTTTATCTGATTCCGCAAGGTAATATGTTATGATCACGCAATTGGGTATTATAAGTTCGGTATGTTTTAAAAATTGAAAAATTTATCCGGATTTTTAATTGAGCCAATGTGATTGTAACTGCGCTTAATATCATAATGCGATGTTAACAAACCGGTTCTAAAACGGGGTGTTACAACAGCCGTCTCTGGTGACTTTTTCGATGACTTTCCGGCGACTTTTTCGGCGATCCACCACCATCTCCGACGACTTTTCCGACGACCCACCGCCGTCTCCGGCGACTTTTCCGATTCCGCGAAGCTTTGTTTTTCTTTAATCTTCTTTCTTCCCAAGATGGAGTATTTATACTATTCATCATCCATCTTGAGGGGGAGCACTGTCCAAGTTGCTGATGTTGTCTCCGCTGATGATAATTCCGGCACCCTTTAGAAGTTCCTCTTAAGGGGGAGCACTGTCCATGTTGCTGATGGTCATTCCAGCACAATTGTCTTTGCCAATGATAATTTCGGCACTGTTTAGAAGTTCCTCTTGAGGGGGAGCACTGTCCATGTTGCTGATGGTCATTCCAGCACAATTGTCTTTGCCGATGATAATTCTGGCACTGTTTAGAAGTTCCTCTTGAGGGGGAGCACTGTCCATGTTGCTAATGGTCATTCCAGCACAATTGTCTTTGCCGATGATAATTCCGGCACTGTTTAGAAGTTTCTCTTGAGGGGAGCACCGTCCATGTTGCTGATGGTCATTCCAGCAAAATTGTCTTTGCCGATGATCATTCCAGCATCTTCCATGTTGATGTTCATTTCGACGCCATTTTTAGCACATTGTTGATTTTTGGTTTCTCATTTAGGAGATTTATTTTGATGTTATGTTACTAGGTCTTTCTTGTAATAAGCTTGTAGCATAGTCAAGGGGAAACCACGGCTGCTCACCAACTGTTAAATGAAATGTCTGAGAGGGATCTTGATGCTGATGCCCTGGTTAGCTCAGTTGTCTTTGCCGATGATAATTCCGGCACCATCCATGCTTTGATGTCCATTCCAGCACTGTCTCTTTATCAGCTCTTCACACTGATGGTCATTCCAGTTGATTTGTTGTACTTAGTCATTTCATTTCGTTGATGTAGCATTGTTGTTTTTGGTTCCTAATGGGAGTATTATTTATGTATCAAGCTTGTAGCATATGATCTATATGCTACAGCTTGAGGGGGAGTGTTAAGAGTGTTAGTGTTAATAGTGTAGAAGTCCCACATTGAGTGTGTCTCTTTATATTCTTCAATTGGTTTGCTATATAATAGCACCAATGTTGTGTAGTTTAATACAACAAGGATTACTATCATTTCCTCTTGTATCTATAATATTCAACAATGACAAATCACCTTGGGTGCATTTCTGTTATTTTCTCCTGATAGGAACTACTACAATTTTCTCTAGAGTACATAGGTTCCTAATCTTTTCTTGAATTATCCACTTATCTACCTCTTCTCATTTCTGCTACACTATTCTTTTGCTCTTACTGGTACTTCACTCCTAATATTTACTGAATCGAAATAACAAACTTTTATCCCAAAGAGCCAAATCTATCTTCTTTCCTATAAAGAAGCATAACACACTTTATTGACCAAAAAGAGGGGGGGGGGAACCCAGATAGCAATATATCCAAGTGGACAATATAATAATCAGTATATGATACCTTGGTTTTTCTCTCCTCTCCTTTAAATATCAGTCGTGCATATGGATTTGTGTGGTGTTTTCCTTCCACATCTTCAGCTTTATGGATGGTAACTACAAGCAAACCACCACTAGCAGGTGTTCCTTCAGGAGCCTTTTCTATTGCACTGGGGTCTTCTACATTATCGGGTAACTTGTCATCCTTAAAAGGATTGTACAGAACTTCAACAATGAGCTGACCACGTGACTTCTCATTCTCAGGATTATTAGGGTCCAACGTCTTGAGTAAATTAAGAGTCAATACTTTTGGTTCATCAGGTATAAGCTCTTTCAATGGAATGGCATTCAAACCCATCTTCTCATGCTTGCCAATCTAGGCAAAAGAAAGAAGAAAAATGCTTGAAAATATGAAAGGGGAAGCTGTTCATGCAATGAAAATAATGGCTTGACAATATTCTGCAGTCCAGACAGTTTCTAAAAGGGTCCTAAAGGAAATCTCACATCCAATTTTAAACAAAAATTGCATCTGAAGATACTTACCTGCTCCCAGTCATAAACACTAAGCTCTAAGACTTGAGATTCTGGATCTTTGACCACCAAACTAAATTCCTCATTCCATTCTGGATTCAAATTCTTGTATTTAACAGTTGTTTTCTTTGAAGGAAGCTTATCATCTGTGAATTTAAGTTTCACATAAGGGTCTGATGCCCCCATCAGATCTTTCTTTCTAAGCTTCACTGCCTTCAGAACCTTGACATGGAGGATTCCAACAGGCACTTTCATGGCCCTGACAAACCAAGCAAAATTAGCTACTCTAACTCCTAATGTTCTAAACTGATGAAAGGAAGAAATTATACATACTTTGTTGGATCCATTATTTGCACCTCTAGGGCCTTGGGCCACAAATACATTTTTGCAACCTGATCTTTAATAAGTTCCTGAAAGGAAAGGAAGTGAGGAGGAGAAATCAATACTAAAACTTCACAAGCATAATAATGACTAGCCATAAACAATTAGGAAAAACTTAGAGGAGATGATAGTGCTATATGCTACCTGGACAATCCTATAAAGACCAGGAATAGACATTGCATCAGCTCCAAGTAGTTTTAGTCCAAAATCAACATGAGGCTGCAATCAAGGAATCAAAATGACAGTAAAGGGGAAGAAAAAGAGGAAAGGTTTAGAACATACTGCAGAGATGGATGCTGAGCTTGCATGCAACATAGACACGTTGACATAGTTTTTCTATTACATAGGATTGTGTTTAAGAACACCATGTGAAATTATTCTTTTGCTCATCATTATATCAGTTATATATAATCCCCCAAAGTGTCAGATATCTTTATCCTCACTAAGAACCACAATGAAATTTAGTCATTAAGGAGTTTTGACATACACACCTTCTGCATGAGAGACACATAAATATTGGCAAAACAAGGAAAACTCGGAACCAAAGGCTTCAGTGTGATGCGTGGAGCAGCAAATACTTGCAGATCAACAACCTGCAATGATTAAAATGTATAAATACCCTTCACGGGGTGCGAACAAGGTGTGTGCATGTTACTTATTGTTAGTATATGGATGTCCTAGAGACAATCTTTTAATTAGATTAGGAGATATGTGGACCTTTGTATTATCGCGAATAAATAAAAGCACTATTTATATCCTGTTTCATATTTTGTCTCAATATTATTGTTAATATTTTATATGAGTAACTGGATAAACCCCTTCGAATAAAATAGGTATTTCTTGAGTATCTGTGATGAGATCACGATCATGAGGATTCAAGGATACTGGATATTTATTCCTAATTTTATGTTCCTAGTCTAGAGACACTGAGAATGGGGATCAGTGATCTCGGGTGACTAGCACAACTTATCTACTTGTATTCGGATGCATGGTAAAGACCTCATGAGCTACAGATATGGAGATGTCTTAGCTAAAGTCGTGGGTGGATCTATAAGGGTATAGCTCGCACCAAACAGACCCATAAAAGAGACTCTATGAGGAAATCTCACAGAGAGTATCATTAGAGTAGTCTCTTTATATTTGGGTATGTCTTTCATTAGACCAGAAGTTATTACCTAGACTGTGTTCTAGAAGGCATGCTTTGACTGTATACCTCGTCTGACTGAAACATGGAGACTCATAGGTATACTGTTGGGCTTGTCCTGAAAGAGCACAGGGCTAGGGTGATAAGCTGAAGGAATTCGTCAAATCTCTGTGAGAGATTAGGTTATCTGTAAATCGGAGAAATCGGGATGACATTTACAGGGACTCGGAAATCTATGCATAGTAAAAGAGATCATGAGATGATCTGCCTTTAGAGTCAATAAATTGAAGATTCCCTATTTCGAATAAAGCTTATCCTAAACTGCAAGGGTTGATACGCTTCCTTACCCTAGGTTTTATAGGAAAGGTAACCGAGACGAAAAGAAATACATACGGCAACCAAATATGTGTAATAGGATGATCAAGTCATTAATCTAACTAGCTCTGGGGCAACAAAGTATTGCTAGTGCTCTGTGTTGTCATTAAATGGGTTGTAGGCTTGTTGGGCCCGAGCCCATTTATGTCAGTGGCTATGTTGAACCTAATGGGTCACACACTAACACCTTAATGTCATGATGATATAACATTAAAGGTATTGGGCCTAATAATGGTTGTTAGCCCAAGATGAAGTTTGGAAGCCCACCTAAGAGGGAGAGGGCGCATGGTATTGTTAATGGGCTTAGATGGTCCAAGACATTACTAATTAATTTAATTAGTTAAATTAATTATCAAATATTTAAATTTTGAATTTTGAATTTGAAATTTGAATTTTGAATTTTGAATTTGAATTTTGAAATTCGAATTTTGAATTTTGAAATTTGAATTTGAAATTTGAATTTGAATTTGAAATTTGAATTTGAATTTAGAATTTAAATGTTTGAACGTTTGAATTTAAATGTTTGAATTCGAATTTGAATTGGCTATGAAAAGTTGTTTTATAACAAAAGGATAAGATGAGATCTTGTTGGAACAAATCCCTTGTATCAAGAGAAGATCTATGGAGATCTCCAAGGGTTGATTTGGGGCGCCATTTTGGTGGGAGATGATTGTCATCTTGTCAAACCAACAAGCTCCAATCAGATTTGGTTGTTGAGAGAATCAGTGAGCTAGTTGGTTTAAACTTGAATGCAACAGCTCAAATGTATCTGGACCCTTTTTGGGCTGAATAGGGGCGCATGAATTGGTGGTCATATGATGACCATTGGTTCAGAATTTTGACTAGATAAAGACCTAGTCTTACGAGGATTCAAAAGGGAGGTTGTTGGGATTTTTGAATTGCAACAACTCTACCTTTGTCTCACTCACTTGTGCGCCACTTTCATTATAAGTAAAGTAAAAATTCTGATTTGATACACTAATTCTCTCCTTCTCTTGTGCGCCTAGTTGGTGAGTTCCTCCTTAAGGTTTTTCAAAAGAACCTAGCCAATTCTTCTATATACCATTCCCACTCTTGTGAAGTTTTCATGCTGGAGACTTCACTCTTCTAAACACATATACCTAGCCTCCTTCTTCACCTATTGAGCGAATAGCAAGCCTCTCTGTGGTGGTCAATTGGTGGCTTTCACGAAAGCATTCTTGCATCTTGACGTGGGTGGTGTGGATCAACGTTAGAGGGTTTGAACCCTTCAAACCTAACACTGATCGTCTTGGAGTTTTGAACTCACAAACAAAGGTAATATTATACTGCCATAAAGCATGATTCTTGATTGCATGTGTGATTCCTCATAAGAAAATTTTTATTTTTCCCTCTCACATGCTACGGCTTTCAAGGCCATTTTACTATCACTTATAACCTTTGACAACTATAAGCAATAATTAAACTAGATGTAATACAAAACCATTCATGTATTTTTACTTAACAACTTAAGGTGTAGATATTTCGTTAATAACATGATATCAAATCCTATATGAGCAAGTGGTCTAGAGTTTGATCCTTATTGTCCCCATTTTTATAATAAAAAAGTTGAATTTCAATAAAAGGTAGGTGGACTTAGGCACTGTCCACGCTTTAAGTCCAAAAGACTCTTGCGTAAGGGGGTATGTTAGAGATTTGATATAAAATCATTGATGTGTCTTCACCTAACAACTTTTAAGCTTTTAGGATGGTTGATGACAAAACCAAACATTTTCTTTTTCTGCTCTTCAAAATGTCATGAAGATACTAATGTTATACCTGGACGGTGGCTCGCAGCCCAAATGCTTTAATTGCAACTATAATGTTAGGATTCCCAGCCCACTTCATTAATGGTTCCATAATCAACTCCTTCTCGTCAGTACTATAGACTTTCATTCCTGGCATATGTATTCAGATGAAGATAAGCATTAATCAGTCTAAATGTTTTGTATTTTCTGAAAGATAAGTCAAGGATCAGATGTAAAAAAAGCTGGAACCATGAAACACGACAACAAAATGATTTCATTATGCAGTTCAAGCAATATGTGTAACACCGTGGAGACCAGATACATTGTCAACTTAATTCCGGTAACACATAGCTTCTATCAGAAGGTACCGATTGTTTTCTCAAAATTTGACCATAATATTTTTCTAGCAGTCCACTTGCCCTTTTAATCATCTTAAATGTAAATAAAACTACTTTTCATAATTGGCGCATTTCTTATCCTGGATTGCATCTGCGCAAACTATCCCACAGCATAATTTTGAGGAAATTATAACTCAAATGATTCTACAATCATGTTAATTATTGGAAGGTCAACTTCATATGATATGTCACAAGTAGCACCACTCAAGAATCACAAGAGCCTGCCTTAGAAGTTAGAATATTAGGGCCTGTTTGGAGCACTTGATAAAGAAAATAGGATAGGATAACTTATCATATCCTACTTTTATCTCTTGTTTGGTGGGTCAATAAGATATGATTAGCTTATCTTATTGTCTCATTTTATCCTATCCAATACATGATTTCTTATCCTATGAGGGGAGCTGGGTTAGAATTCAGCAAGATAGGATACCAATATTGAATACCCAATATATCCTCACGCTACCCAATATATCCCCACGCTACCCAATATATTTGTATTTATTGCATTGTATTTTGTTTTTTATTTCTCCTTTCTCCTTCTACATAATCTTATCATATTGCTAATCAAGTGTTCATCAAACACAGGACATGATATAGGCTTATCAGTCCCATATCATATCCTACCCTTATCAGCCCCATATCATATCCTATCCTTATCCTATCATGTCCACCAAACGAGCCCTTAAAAGCTACAAAACATTTTATTCCTGCCGTTCTTCTTTCACAGTTAATTTGGGAATGAAAAACAAATTACTAACAGTGCCTGGACAACAATAGAAGACATACTTGTTTAAGCAATGAGGACATGATAACAAAAATGAATCGCATACATAATACTCATATGATGTGTGTGTGTGTGTGTGTGTGAGAGAGAGAGAGAGAGAGCTCAACCTTGAAAAGTTGGTGGTAGAGAACCTAAGGTAAGTACTTCAAATTCAACTGAATCAATTTTGTACTTCGGAATTTGCTCAGCAATAATGGGCTTTGCAATATTCCTTGCAGTCTTGCAAATTGCCTATGAAGATTGAATTGTTGGTACTTTTTGAAAATTGCTTATCCAAAATAGTTGCACGAACAATAACAGTCTCAGAGATGCCATTGGAACAAATTCAAACATAAATTAAAAGTATGCATACCTTGTCCAGATAAGGCCACATATACTCAATAAATTTATTAAGCCAGTCAAGCTGCAAACATGAAAATATATTAATTTTCTGCAGAACTTACAATACATTCCTGGTTGCCAAGATAAAGAACAACATACACGATCATAGTCTGGGTTTTTAATCCAAAAGGGTATCTCTGGAAGCAACTGTTGCAGAGTTTTAGAATCTTGCTCAACCAAAGGATGAATTATTGGATCCTGAAATCAACCATGCCATAATTTGAAAGTGTTAGACAATGACTAAAAGAGAAGGTAACAGAATAACAGAATGCAGTCATTAACTTCTACTCACAATTATGAAATAACTAAATTGGAATCCGCTAAGCTCCTCAATGAAAAAATAAAACCAGAAAGAGCACAATTTTCTTTTCTCGTTCCAAAATGTCAAAAGAAAGAAGAAAAGGGCAATCTTTTTTACATGCCTTGCAGGTCCTTTTCTTTGAGTTGAAACAATGATAATCCAAAATCTATCAAAATTCAACTTGAAACTTGATTTAACATAGAGCATATAAGGTAGAGCAGAAGTATTTCAATACAAGATTATTTAATTCACTAAAAAAGGATCAACCAGGTCCTTTATGTTTATCTAATTTCAAATTTGTCCATTAAGATACCCCTCTTTCTACACTACGGAATTTCATCACTCTGAAATTCCTCTCAAAGTTCCTAAAATCCCCTCTAAATCAGGAAGTCCAGAACAAAAAGCTTAACCAAAAGAATAACTTTCCAAAATTTAACTGTGATTAGTTAATGTTTAACAGATTGAACAAGTAATTCATGATTGTCACAAAAGAACAAAGCTTAACTATTTCATTTTCGTCGCGGTAGAACTTCAATTACCACAGAGTTTATCCACAATTAATCTTTCAACATCTCACTTCAGACTAAAATAACCTTCATTAAAAACCATCAAGACCAAAGCGTGAAGTGAATCATATGACATATTAAAACACAATTCCTGTTCCATGAAGAAGGAAGACTGGACACAAGGAAGCTTTTTACCAGAGAAATATGCTCCTAATGTTTATACATGCAAAAATGTTATTACTAAGGTAAAGAACAGAATATGTTAGCTTATTCAACTTTAAGCATAATAAGTAATAAAGCATAATAATAATAATAATAATAATAATAATAATAAGTAGTCATATCGTAAATCGTAATTCAGAAAACAAATAAGAACGAAAACGATATAATTCAAAATTCACATACGGAATCCAAAAATTCACTAACCTTGACATCTGTTGGCTGGAAGTAAATGAACAAATAGTAGCCAATCACCAACCCAAGTGAAGTTCCAACTCCAAATCCAAAAAAACTAGCTATGGTACTCAAAAAACCCATCTTTCAATGTCTTTGTGAACAACCCTGAGAATTTATATGTACAATGTGACAAACAAGGGAAGAAGGGAGAGAGCTAACTTGCTTCTGTAACCAAAGTAGAACATTTTCAATTAAACCTTCTCAAAAAATACTTACTATATAGTCAATAACCTCCCTTTTTTGTGGATCAGTGAATTCACTTTATGTGTCTGGAAAAGTAGTAGAAAAGACAAGAACCTGTATATATCTTATTATTATCATAAAAGTGCAATAAAGAAGCATTAAAACCAGTGGCCAATCTTTACCTTCATCAACGGCCATTTGATCCACACAACAGTTTGACAAGGAAACTTGCAAGCGCGTGAGATGGCAGTATGGCACTGAGTGTGTGTCGGCAATGTCTATTCTTTCAGATTTTTGAAATATCTACTTATTAAACAGCATTGATGCTGGAGGATAACGATCAAACAACGAACACGTTCACTAATTTTTTTTGTCTAAAGGCAATAGAATTAAAGAGGTTCAATTATGGGTTTAATTTCTTTTATTATAGAAAATAATTTTATCTATTATATGGGTTTGGTGTTTGTCATTTTAAATGACATAAATTATGTCATTTTGAGTAAGAGATAGACACAGAAAAATGGAGATAATGGGAGAGAAAAAGTGGGTGATTTTTTTAATTTAAAATTCAAATTTTCTGTAACTGTATCTCTCTTAAAATAACATAACTATCGTTTAAAATGACAAACAATTTTTCTTACCGTATATATAAAAATATGTGAAATTTATATTTATTTTTTTCTCTTTTTATATTATCCTATATGAACCCCACGTGGGACCTAATAAACATCAAACCCTTCAATTTATGCTTTCTATTTTGGCTTTTGGCTCTTGCACCTTTTGGCATTACCATTTGCCTTGGTTTTGGTCCCTCCATGTGTCCTTAGCAATTGAGAAAAACTGACAACCAACCTTAGAATTATGTGCTTCCAGCATTCCTTCCATTATGTTTTTTATCATTCTATTTTTCTTTTACTTGTATTGTATGGATAGATACAGGATATAACTGATTTCTAGTTTAGGAAACAAATATTTTTTTTTTTATTCAAAGAAACAAAAACTGTCAAAACTTGTAACAATTGAAAGTTATGATTTCTATGAAAAAAAAAGGTTATGATTTCTTTCATTCTTCGTGAGTTGTGACACTTAGTTGATAGAGTTATAGGACATGTAAATAGAGTGTGCATGTTTAAACTTTATGATATATTCCCATATTATTAATTTGGTCTCCTTTACATTCCACTTTCCTTTCTGGAGCCTTATGCAGACTTTCCTAAAATCTCATTAATAGCGGGTCCTTTTCTTAAAAAAAGAATAATTAAATGTTCATAATTTTAAAAAGATGGACGACTAGTGACTGATATTTAAAATCACTTATTAAGAAATTAAAAATTGAAAGGTATTCAATAAAAAGTACAATACTTAATATATTAGAAACTTAAAAAAATTTACTTTTCATTTAATTCTTTTTATTTTAGAATTCTCAACAAGTGTTTTAAGAGCACTCATTAGTTTAAGATAAAAAGGACCGTTAACTCTTTCCGCAATACCACGTTGGAACAGTTTATTTGAAAAAATATAAAACAGATTGATCTAAGTTCACACACACAATTTTTTTTATTTTTTTTTATGTTTTACAGGAAACACCTGATTCGTTGAAATGTTAACAACATTTTAAAATTTATAATACTTTTAAGATCAAGGATAAAATAGTAAATTTCTTTACTTTAATTAACAGTTTGTGCATAACATTTATGATATTTAAATTTTGATTTAATTTATTAAAAAATAAATTATAAAAATTATTTAGTTTATTTTTTGCACTTTTGCATTTTTATGATTTATCAATATAGAATATTCAAATTTGTATTTTATTTTTCTAAATTTTGGGTTGTCTCAGTCTCGACTCACTTGTTATCCCTCCTAACCCTTAATCACATCATACCAATGTTATAAAAATTAGATCGATCGGGCCGAGTCGACCTAAAAATTGATAAATCAGTCATATAACTGATCTAATTTTTATATTGGATCGGCCATGTAATGGAATCGATACGACCCAACCGGTTTTTATAAAATCAGTGACCTGACCCGGTTCATAAAAAAAATAAAAAAACTAATTTGTTCTCGCCAATTAATACTTTTTTTTCACTCTCGCACACAAATATTTTGTTTTTTTTTTTTGAAATATTTTGAGTGATCTGTTGCTTATTGAATTACATAGGTTATGTACCTATAATACTAATTATTATCTTGGTTATACAATATGCAGCGAATTTTGATTTGATTTAAAATTAGAGATGTCGTCTACTGAACCTGAAGCACCAGTATCACAAGTATTATATATTTGATTGATCTTTTATTGGACAATAATATATAATTTATTAAAATATTTGGAATTGGTATCATTTTTTTATTGATATTTGAGTATATTTACAATTTTTTAATATAAATTATAAATTTACATATATTTATTGGGTCATGCGATTAAACCAATTACTTATTGATTGAATCAATAACCCAATAATCTCATACTTCGATCGAGTCAATAATCGAACCAGTTTAATAACATTTCATGGTACCTCTAGTTATGCATGAAATTAGCGAATTCAATTAAATGACATTTAAGCACATTTTACTTTACATCTCTCTCTTTGAAAATGTTTACTTTGCTTCTCTAGCTTTTTTGGTTTATGAAAGTAGGGATATTTGACCCAAAAAGACAATGTAAAAAAAAAGTATCAGAATATTTAGAAATAATTGTGTGTTGAGAAAAATAAAAGGAAGTATAACATTAAGATTTTTTACCTATTTTTTTTTACCTATCTTACTTATCTTTAATAATATTGGATCAGAATCTCACTATTAAAATTCCGATTTAATATTATTAAAAATGAGTAGATAAAATAAATAAAAGAGTGAGAGTAAATAACCTACCCATAAAATCAAAACACTTATTTAATAGATGAATGGATTGCATGATGGAAATGGGCAAACTTAAAGAAGGGTGGGGAGTGGGGACGTCATGTCTGCTTGACCTACAATAATTATAAAAAAATATTCAGTGACGCGTGTTGCAAGAGTATTTCTACATTTAGTTATTGTATGTGAAATTAAATAAATTGAATTTATGTAAAATATTAAAATACTATTTATTAATTTAATATTGATTTAATTGCGACTTTATTTTTTTTTTTTTTGAATTTTAGTTTGTTTTAATTGATCATTTTAATTAATTTTAATAAACACGTGAGATTGACTTTAGAAGTGATACATGATATAAATTCCAAAAAAAAAAAAAAAAAAAAAAAACTTAGCTTGCATAGTTTTATCATATTAGATTTAAAGGTTTTGCCTGACTATAGGCGGCCAAAATTTTATTGTCCACAAGTTACTCAAAAACAGCATTAGGACCATCTTTAACTTTATTATAACATATCCTCTAACACACACAATATTATGCAATGCAATTATTGCATGAAAAGACTAATTGACGGAGCCTTTGAAACATTCTGTTCATTTAGTGGATTTTTTTTTATATAAAAAAGAAAGTTTATTTTCATAATAAAAACTTAAGGTATATATACTTTTCAAATCACAATACATTTTATTAAATTATAAACAAAACACATATATATTTTTAGGGATAAGATTAATTTATATGATATAAGAATAATAAATTTTACATTAAATCATAACCGTTGATTTTCGTAAATCTAATAGTTGTAATTTATTAAGTCACACTCATTAATAATTATTAACTTTTAAAAAATCATAATCGTTAGATACATAGAAATTCATGGTTAAAATTTGATATAAGATTTATTGTTCTTATACCAATGTAAGTTGATCTTGCCATATATATAGGAGAGGGATCTTTTGACTCTAGAATAAGATTTAGACGTTTTATTCTTCATCTTAATCGTTTATTTTCGTCCATCTAACAGTTATCATATATTTGAAATTAATAATTAATTAATTACTATAACTCCATAAACTATAATCGTTTATAGACGGAAATCAACGGTTAAGATGAGGAGTAAGACTTTTAAATCTCACTCTCAAATCAAAAGATCCCTCACCATATATATATATATATATATATATATATGGGTCAGGATCATTTTACACCAGTGTAAGTTACACTCTTAATCTTATCCGTTAATCCCACTTATATCTAAGGGCTCCAATTTTTTAGTAACGTGAGCCATTGGATACAAGTGGATCAATGGTCAAGATTGAGTGTAAGACTTCTAACTCTTACACCGGTAATCTCACTTATATCTAAGGGCTCCACTTATATATATAAAAGGGAGAATCTTATGCACCCATATAAAATTAATAAGTCTTACTCCTTATTTTACCTATTGATTTATGTCTATTTGACAGTTGTAATGGTGTAATGGTTAGAGATATATAATATAAAAATTGTTGATGACTCATCAGTTACAAGCTTAAGCTTTTAGGTAAGATGATTACTTTACATGGGTTTGTGTAATTAAGTCAGCAGAAGATAGAACAAAAAAAAATGGATATGTTCAGTAACCACACTTTAAGCCCAAAGAACTTTTTTGGGTGAGGGCTTTGTTATAAATATATAATATAAAAATTATTAAAGCAATCATTTCACTTAAAAGCTTAAGTTTGTAAGTTATGAATATTTAATAATTTTTATATTATATATCTATTAATTAATTATTAATTTTAAATAAATTACAGTCTTTAGATGATGAAAATCAATTGTTGAAATGAATATATATATATATATATATATATATATATATGGTAAAATCATTTTTACAGTCGATTTACGTACAACAATGACATGTGTATGGTTATGATTTTCCACATTTAATGCTTTCATCTTTTGTATGGTTATGATTCTCCATTTTAATACTTTCACTATATGACAAATATTTGATTGCTGCACGTACAGCAGCTGCAGAAATGTAAACTCATATATATATATATATATCCTCTCTAAAAATAACAGCATTTAAAAAATATGATAAGCCTTTGTTTTATATATTCAATTTTGTAAATGAAGGGATGCCCGTTGCGCACCACGAATCAAATGTAAAAAAAATCCTAACGAACTAATTAATATATTAGTGTTAGAAATATAATAGGGTTTTATAACTCTCATGTTGAATGAGACTTGAAATCTTATGTTATAGAGATAAAAAGCATGTGAGACCTATATGTTAAAAAAAATTATATTTAGGACCCATGATAGTACGAAAATCAAAGGGTGTATAGGAAAATTTCAATTTTCATATTAAATGAGAATTATAAAATCCTAAACCCATATGTTAGAAAGAATTATACGTAGGACCCATGATAG